AAGCTCAGGTTTAGAATTTAACGGAGGTCCTGAGCTAGAGTAGTCTGTAGCTTGAACACTGGTTTTTAATTATTATTGATTAAATAAATAGATTAACTAGTGTGTTAAACAATAAATATACATTTAAATTTTCAAAAAATAAAATTTTTCTAAATTTTTTTATTATTTCTATTATTATGCATATAATGTATCGATCTAGATTTGCCCGTTAAACGGCGTATCAACGCAAACACCTAATTCGTCGAATGTCTTAATGCTCGTGTTTTCTTTTTCGCTTTTATTTTCTTTTCTGTCTAATTTAAAATAAAATTACAATCTCGATATGCCATGTTACCTCTTTGTCATATTGTTAGTGAAAATCGTCAAAATATTCTTTTTAAAACATTATGTTACTATTTTTTATTTAATATTGTATTCGATAAGACTTGTTCGTACTTATTATACTAAATTTATAATTTTATTGAATATAATATGTTTGATTGATAAAAAATTTTAATCGATAAATATTAATGTTATTATTTTTACAATTGACATATAACTTTACTTTATTGAAAGATGTATGATTAAAGTTAACGTGATGTAAAAGTAAGATAAATTAGTAGTTAATCACTTTATCAATGATTTATATAGTTCCAGAAGTTACAACCACACGAGAACCATAAAAAGAGTTTTCCCCTCTAGAACATTAAAATGTAAGTTCCTAAGCATTAGAAGAGCCAAGGTTCTATCCATATACATGTCAAAACGGGCTTTAGCTCGCGGGCCGTCCCGTCTTGCCCCGCCACGCCAAAAGGGTGGGTCGGGCTGTAGATTTGCAGGCCCGTCAAAGAACGGGCCTAAACGGGCTAGCCCGCACTGGCCGCGGGTTTTGATGGGGTGGGCCAAGCGGGCCACGGGCTAGCCCACCAGAAAATTAATATATATGTATATATATACTCACATATCTCACTTCTCTACAACTCGCAAGTCGCAATCCCTCGTCGACCAAACTCTGAATACTCTTTCAAATTCACCCAAGAAGGCAAGAAGAACACTTCACCTTGAACCCAAACCAGAGGCATTTCTCTCATCCCTCTCCTTGATGCAGATTTGAGGCGAGGTCCTCGCTAAAAGCTCGTTGTCGGTGTGGACTAATTTGGGCAGAGATCGTCAAATTGACGGCGATATCAAAACTTCCCAGACGGAGCTTCGGTATATGACGGAGCTTAGGGTCGTGGACATGGAGGTTGTCGGATTGAGTTGGAGCTCACCTCTGTAGATCTTGTAATAATTGAGTAAAATTTAATATTCAATGGGATCCACCCATGTGTAATAATTACTCAAATTGGCATCCTGCACATGGGGTTCTTGCACTGCATATGAAATGCCCATCCCTCTGTCAATTGCTCTGCTGCCAAAACGCGTGGAGACAGCTACTATTTGATCAAATTGTTCATCATCCTTTACTATAAATAGAGGGCCTCAGCAGAAGGAAAAGACGCACCAAAATAAGAAAAGGAAAAGAGAGGAAAGAAAGAGAAAGAGAAAGAAAAGAAAAGATAGAATTATGTCCAAATATCGGATATAAAATATCAAAAGAAAATAAACAAGTGATATTTTTATTTGTTTTAAGATATTCCTTTTATTTCTAAGTGCTCAATTCTCGATTTCGATCCCGTTCGCCGGAGCTCGTAAATCTGGTGTGGTACAGATTTAGAGACGTTTGTCGTTGTATCTTTGGGGAAGTTACGCCTGAACCGTTAGCTGACACACGGGGCGTATTCTTCTTGCGGAAAGAGTTTTACTCGCCTCGGCTAAATTCTTTCCCTTTTTTCAGTTGTAATTTATTTTCAGTTCAAATGTAATTTTCTATTTTTAGATTATTTGTAAGAACTAAAAATACATATCACTTCGTAGGATTCCCGTGTAATTTCACACCAAATATCCAACAATCGCAAGAAGAATATCAGTCAACCTAACGAACGGATGATGGCATCCACCGAAGCAGGTTCCAGCTCTCAGCAGCAAATCAACACCACTGTTCATCATCCCGTATCTGTTGTCCATGTTTCTACAGCTGAAAAGCCTGAAAAATTCAACGGGCTTCACTTTAAGAGGTGGCAACAAAAGATGCATTTTTACTAGACAACTTTGGATTTGGTGAAATACTTGAAGGACGATCCCCCGGTTATTGCTCTAAAAATGAGATAAATGATTAACTACGCGCTGCGTATGATGCTTGGTGTTTGTCCCATTTTTGTTACATTTTTCTTGATTATTTTCCTTGTCTTTTTCCCCCATTTTATGTTTTTTCCTTTAGTGTTGGTCCGTTTTATTTCGTTTCGTGTGTTTTTATTTATTTAGAATCTTCTTGTGTTTTTCGGTTATTTTCTTCTTTTTCTTCGTTTTTATTGTCGTCTCGTGTGGTGTGCAGGTTGAGTCCGTAGCTGATTTTGATATATAGAGGAGGAATATGATTTGGCAAGAGACGAAGTCAAATTCGGTTTCTAAGCTAACGAACTCTAAACGAAAAGTAAAGCACTAGTC